TTTGACTAGTTAAATAAAGACAATGCACCGATCCTGTGCTCCTCTGAGGAAAGAATATAATGTCTCATATAGACATTTACATTTTAGACACTAATTTATTGGAACAGGTTAAGATATATTAGGTAGTAGAAATGGGTCCCTCGAGGACTAGTGGTTAGAGCCCGAGTTTTATTCTCAGACAGGGAACCAACCCCAGCCACTGGGGTTGCACACGACAATGCACTCCCAGTGCTAGTCCCAAGCCGGGATAAAATTGGGGAGGGTTGCATCAGGAAGGGCATCCAGCGTAAAAACTGTGCAAAATCAAATATGTGGACCAATGATCTGCTGTGGCAACCCCTAACGGGAGTAGCTGAAAGAAGAACAACAACAATATTAGGTAATAGATCTCCAGGAAAAAGGGATGGTTAGCTATTGGGAATTAATGTTGATGTGATCAGTAAGCAGTTCTGCAGGAGAAACATAAGACTCAGTAATTACTGCTTAGTTAATGGTGAACTAATGCTACCATACTGAGTAATTAACTAGTAGTTATTAACCAGTAGTTATCACATTTTGAGAGTGAGGAGATAAAAAAAAATCAACACTAATGGCTTTATATCATGATTAAAAAAATTACATTGTGTTGACAATCTTCCTAATTAGCAAACAAAGTTGCTGAGATGCAAAATGAACACACTGTGCCAACATTTGTGTACTGTCTGAGCAGTCATCATATTGTAGGCTAAGCAGCATAGCATTCCACCTAGTTAAGCTGAGTTGAAAGTGATGGCTAGGATCAGTATTACCTTCTCGCCACTGGGCAGTGTGAAATAGTGGGCTTGGTCAGGGTCACTGTAAAGCAGCTCCTTCATGTACCTATCGGCTGAGCTCTGCAGCTCCCTGTGACTCGTGGCATCCAGCACATCCACAGGGAAGCCCATCCCTGCATCCCTGCAAAGGTTTAAAGGTCAGTCACAGATCACCTTCACATGGGCACGGTATAAGCTTATGGTCCCAGTCAAACAGGTTTTCAGAGTATGCAGATGGTCGATAAAGTATGATTGGGGGAGGTCAGAAAACTCAAAAACAGAAACTGGCAAACAGTGCCATGTGAAGAGGCTGGGCTTGAACTTCCAGGAAACATTTCCAGGAAACATCTCCATTGAAAAATGGCATCATTTTACAGAAAGCAAATACACCATTTCATCTATTACCACTTGCAGTTTACTACAACTGACCCCTTGTATGATGGACAGCCTACAATTATCTGAGAACCTCCTTATGTTCTGAAAAAACATGGATGATCCAGACATTCAGTCCATGGACGATCCTGACATTTCAGGCAGTTCTCAGAATTACCTTTGACAGACTGTACCAGCTTTTATGTCATTCAAAAAAGGCTAACAAACAAATATACACACATGACATGCAAAAGCTTGACCCCTGATCTCCAGTGAAATACATTTGGTAACAGTGTTGGTGTTGGTAACAGTTTGGCTCAGGGACAAAAATCTGGTCAGAAAACCTCAAGTCAGCTTAGGTTAGCCAGCAGGTAAAGTGACGATCAGGAACATTTATGAATTCAAAGTTAAGATTACAAGTTTAATTTTGTAACCTCTTCAGGAATCCTGTTATTCTAGTTTATGCTCTGCAGTTGGCTAACAAATCTGTCACTACATGCACAGCTTCCTTCATCCTACCTGAAAGACTTCCTATGTACCTGTAGATGTAGTACCTGGATTTTTGTAGGGTAGTAACATGTCAAATTAATCACTAACATTTTACACTAAATGGAAATGCTAAATTACAGCTATGTACCTCATGTAATGACCATCAAGAACAGCAATCAATTTTTTTTTTCCACCCAGTTAGAAAAATTCAGTGGCATTCAATAAGTGTAAAAGTGTTTGATATTTTCACACTATACTTTTCAACAATCCTAGTACATCGTCCAGGTATCAATAGTACACTACATCTAGTTAAATTTACAAGTGTGAACACACTACTAGCACTAATAATAATCCATCTGATATGCATTTAAGCTCACATTTTCATCTATGCTAAATTTATATAAGCAATAACTCACCCACATTTCATATAGAGAATTTGGTTAAGAATAATTCACGTGAACATGACTAAATTTCTAGACAAATTTAAACGAAACTCAATGAAATCATTTAAGGCAGTTACTACTACACCATTTAGAAATGGCAAACATAATGCACTTAGATGTGAATGTCACAAAAGTGTGTCTAAGCATCTGAACCATCACTGGAGTTATAAGGAATAAGGAAAGGTATCACCTCAAAATTTCTTTTCTAATTAGAAAGAATGTGATTGTTAATATCCTCCCTCTTTCTAAACACCAGCATGTACCAACTAAATCTGCACGTACCAACAGAACAATAGAAGAACAATGGAATTCAGAAAAACATACCCTACTCACCTCATTTTTCAGACCAGGCCGACACAGGCAGACAAATTTCATTAGACCGGCAAGGAACTATATACAGCAGGAAATTCATTCAAGCCACGCAAACTGCGGACTACAGTCATTGTGTTTAAGCTTCTACTTCAAGTTCACTTTTGTGCACTCATCTTAACTTACCTGTAAACAAGTGTTATTTAAAGTGTGTGATGTAGCACTGAGAGCTTACTACTTCATTTCATTGTGCAATATGCAAATACAACAACAAGGAAGCAATCCAATTAATTGGTGATCCAATTAAATAATGGTGGTCGGGTGCATCAGGGATGGACAGGAAGAGGCAACAACTTCATGGAGTGGTGCGGGAAGAACCATCTGCTCCTCAATGTGGCCAAGACCAAAGAGATGACGGTGGACTACATGAGGAAGAGGACCACAACCAGCCCCATTACCATCATGGGTCAGGACGTTGAGCTGGTTGACACCTACAAATACCTTGGCGTCCATCTCGACAGACTCTACTTTCTGAGGAAGGTCAGGTCCTTTAATGTTTGCAGCAAGATGTTAGAGATCTTAGAGATACCAGTCTGTGGCAGCCAGTGCAGCCTTCTTTGCAGCAGTATGCTGGTGAGGCGGCATCAGAGCTGGAGATTCGACAAAGAAGGCCGGCTTGGTCTTTGGCTGCTCTCTGGACAGATTTGAGGTGGTGGTGGAAAAGAGGACACTCAGTAAACTCACAGCCATTCTGGACAATAAACAGCATCTCCTCCATGACCTGCTGGTTAAACAGCAGAGCTCCTTTAGTGGGAGACATCTTTCATCTCCGCTGTAGAAAGGAGCGGTACAGGAGGTCATTTGTATCAACAGCGATCACACTGTACAACAGCTCATCACTGTGTTGGAACACTTTTTTGCATTGAGCCAGTCTTAGGATAAACAATAGTTGAATTTGAATAGTTGAACTACCACCATCCACTGTTTGTATCCATATGCACTGCCGCTTCCATTCATTTTTTTTGTTTTCACAATGTTTACACTGTTGACAATGTTTGCACTGCACTGCCACTTTAATTCCACTCAAGTCTGCTGCTTGTATCTACATTGTTTACTCTTATTTGTTTCATTTACAATGTTAAATTTCTTTTAGTATACTTCTAACTCTCTGTGCTGCTGTAATAGGTGAATTCCCTCTGGGATGAATAGAGTGATCTATCTATCTATCTAGTATCATTAATAGAGAGAGCTTGATGACAGTCGAACTTGAGTCGGCACAGTCCCCACAACACAAAAGAAATTCAAAAAGCTTGAAAATGTCCAAAGGTGCACAAAGGTGTAATATAATCTAGACAAGGCCTAACTTGCTCCAGAGCATCACTGTTAACTTTGCAGAAAATATCATGGTGATATGGAATTAGCAGACAATTTATGATATAATGACTGCTCAGGCACACTCGTACATTAATTATACCTGATTAAAATTGTTCTATGTCTCTATCAGTGTTAAATATTAATAATTATTTAAAACTCCATTACATATTCATTACAAATGAAGGTGCTTTTTTGTTGTATACCTAGTGTGGAGTTATTGTTCTAATTATTTCCAACTGAAAAAATCAGCTAATCAGTTTGCCTGTGTGTGGAGTAGTTGGTTTAAGTGGCTTGAAATTCATAGCTCTTAGGCAGCAAGATCCTACTGAAATCACACTTTTTTCTTTTTTTTGTTGGTTTAACCTTACTAACGGTCCCTAACTCTTCAGTGACGTAGATACTCAGAGAGAGAAAATGTTTTACTAACTTAAAATCGTGAGTTTTCTGACTTTTGATGCAGTATTGCCAACTTAGAGACTATGTCGCTACATTTGGCAACTACTTAGGCCGCTTTAGCAGTTTCAATTCAAAAAAGAGACTAGCAACAAATCTAGTGACTTTTTTTTTTTTGAGCACGTTAGTGACTGTCCTGCACTCGATACGACTCTCCAGCTCACATCACAGCTGCTGATACACAAGTTGAGAGAGCAGGTTTACTCGACTCACCACCAGTGTGTATTGGCTGACTGGGTTGCACTTGTGACTAATCACTGATTACCACTGTTCCCCAACAACCAATCACTGATCACCACTGTTTGTCCCATCCTCACACCTCTTGGCTGTTGTATTAAACTCTTTTCTTGTAGATCAGGGGCACTCAATAGGCGGACTCCGGTCCGGATTCAGACCAAAGGACAGTCTAATCCGGACCAAGATCTAAATGTTTGTGCTAGTTATCTGACACCTGGCTAAGTGATTGTGTAAGCATACTAGTGTGTTAAATGTCTGCAACAGAATCATATGAACAAGCAAAAAGATAGCCAGTACTTTAGTACTTTCACTCCCCTTCTGTTCTTAACTGTTGCCATGTGACAACAACATCACTAAAAACAGCATCACTATGACACCGATTGTTAAGAGTGGTAATGTTAAGCGCCACTATGAAACAAAGCACATGTATTTTGAGCAACTTTGTCCACAGAACACGGAGGTGAGAACCAAAAATCTTAACCAGATGAGAGAATCCAAACATTTTGGAGTTTTTGTTCTTTACATAGTTCTGGGTCCCTAGAGGACTAGTGGTTAGGCCACAGCGTTCTCACCGCTGCGGCCTGGGTTAGATTCCAGGGAACCAACCCCAAGAACTGGGGTTGTGTGCAACAGTGCACCCTCAGTGCTGGTCCCAGGCCTGGATAAAAAAATTGGGGTGGGCTGCATCAGGAAGGGCATCTGGCATAAAAACTGTGCCAAATCAAATACACGGACCAATGATCCGCTGTGGCGACCCCTAATGGGAGCAGCTGAAAGAGGAACAACAACATTCTTTACATAGTTCTGTACTTGATGGGACATACACTTGCTCAATTGTCCTACTGTGTGAACCTTCGCCTCAGTGGAAAATTGGTAAATGGACCACAAGGATTTAGATTTGAGTACCCTGTTGTAGATATTTACAAGTAATAAAAGTGAGGAACTGTTTCCTTCATGACTACTCACCTTTCACGTTTACTCTCTGCCACTGCTGCTTTTCTCTGCCTTCTTCATAGAAAGTTTCAAATTTTATAAATGCATAAATGTTTAGTTTTTGCATGGTGCCATCACTGAAGATGACTCATTCCATAAGAAATATATTATAATCTATTATTTTCCATTCTGATAAAACTCTATTCTGTTCTATTTTATTATATTCTAAGTGAAACTTTTAGAAGACTTCCCTCATCATGTACCCTAATCTGTAATTTAATATGCCACTGATCGTGATGAAAATGCAAAAAAAACGATATGCAAATTAGTCTATGGCGTCACCTAGCGACTTCTAGTGACTTTTTGAGCGGGAAGTAGCTACTTTCCCCCTGAAAAGTAGCACTTTGGCAACACTGTCCACACTTTTCTTCTTTTCTTGAACTTCAGCGACGGTCCCTAGCGCTTCAGTGACGCAGATACAGAGAGAAAATGGTTTACTAACTCTAATTCGGGAGCTTTCTGACTTGTTTAAACCGTTTTAGTTGGTTCTCTTTTTGCTGCAGTATTCAGCTCAAGTACTTTTTCAGTAGTTTGGCGTACCCTTCGTGCGCTTTTGACCAAAAATATCCGAAAGTTTGAATATGAAACTAGCTTTACACCATTAAAACAGACACGACGCCGCTTCAGCTAAATCAAAGCTATACTTAGCTCACATAAACATACTCTAATATGGACTGTTTACAGACAGAAATGTGTGAGACAGAAATATTTTCAAGCTAGACTGTGGTAAAGTTAGTTTCATTCATCCTGCGTGAACTTTAATAATAAAAAAAAACTATTAATAATAATAATAATAATAATGTCGAAACGGTCAGTAGTATCAACTAATGTACATTTCACACTATGTAGAAGTCTCACCGTGGTGCAGCGCGCGCGAGCTCACGCCTCACAGCTGCTTCACATCAACAGCATGGCTACTGCACTTCATGTAAACACACATCTAAAACGATTCAGGAAAAAACGTCAGTTATGAGCAGTGACGGAAACAGGAATGACTTTTAGTGGAATGAGGACATGTACAAAATAAAACCAGGATTGTTTTTTTTTTTATTAAAAAAAAAAAAAAGCCTTTCTAACCTTTTCTTCTTCCTGCAGTAAACCTCCAGCAACCTACTTCACCAGCTCTCAGTATCTCTGCCTGTAGTGTAAGCACAGTAATGCTGCCAGCTCTTTTCAGGGGAAAGTAGCTAAAGCACACTCAAAATGTCACCGTATGGCGTCATAGACCAAGTTGCATATTCCTGATCAGTGATACATTTTTAACTTACAAATGAGGGTACATGAACAGATAGAGTTTCGTCAGAATAGAAAAGAACCGATTATAATCATGTATTTCCTATAGAAAGATGCCATCTTTGGTGATGGCACCATGCGCAATCTAAACATTTATGCATATGCAAACTTTCCATCAAGAATGCAGACAGAAAGAAGCAGTGAGAGAGTAACTTAGAGTAAGTAACTTGATTGGTCGAGCAGTGTTCCAAGAGTGCTTCTATTTCCTATAACCACACTGGGGGTGAACGTTTCACTGTGTTTATCACTCCACTCGTCTGTGTTCGCCATGTAAAATTCCACCTCTAGTTCGAAACGGTTACTACAGTAGTGTTAGTGACATGGCAAACAATACTTTTCAGGAATTTAACTTTTGACTTAAAATATGAAAGCTTGTCAGATGATGATGAAAAGGAAGAAGGGACAGCAATTTTACCAGAAGCACCTTTAACGGGAATGTACAAATCAATACGAGCAGAACATTTGGCCATATCGTGTGCGAAATGTCAGTTACTCGATATTAATTTCTTGTTCATAGAACCGTTGTATGAAAGCAGTATCGCACGAGCAAGAGTGAGGTTATACTGAAAATCAACACGGCTGTGATTCGGCGTACGAACAGATGGAACAGATGAATAAAACCATCCATATTAATCAAATAATGTAATTGATAAGCTTATAATTGCGCATATGCAGTCAAATGTTTGCATAAACAAGGTCAGTCAAAATCGAATTTAATACTGCTACTTAAAATGAAATAAATGCAGGACGAATAAGGATCCAGGAACCTGAATACAGAATAAACGTAATAAATGTCAAAATCGGGGGTATATAAAGATAATGATTTATTCGCTACAGAAATAAAGTCACAGCTTGAACAAAGTAACATGGTACAGTAATATTTGGAACAAATTGCAAAATAGAAGAAATTCTCACAAAAAAAAAAAAAACAGATTTTATCAGGAAATTTATCATCATGGATCTGACGCAGGTGAGAGGTACAGTAAACCCTACGCAAGTTCAGACAAACACACTGTGACGCCTGAGAATAGTTTCTACTATAAAGCTCATTGGGGGTGTGTGTAGGAAAATCCAGTGTGTGTGTGTGTGTGTGTGTGTGTGTGTGTGTGTGTGTGTGTGTGTACCTTTTAACCTTAGAGCTCCCTCATTTGGTAAAGTTAGAGAACTGAACAAACCAATAAATTCACAAAGAGCTAGAGGCTAAAATATGACCTAAAATGCAATTTCACTAATATAAAATAGTTTTTATTGTTATATGATGCAGCAAAAGAACTATTTTTATGACATTAAGGCCATTGATATACAAATACAAGATAATATGACACTACGGCAACACATTTGTCACATTTGAGTGATTAGGGGAATTAATTTTCTCTTCAGTTCACGAGTCCTCAAGTAAAAAAGGCTGGCTCACTGGCTGCATCAAGCAACATGCCCAATCCTTTGAGCAACGAACTTAAGTGACATCTAGATTTATTTTTTGTAAATCCTTCATACTCTCATTTACAGTCAAATCCAAAAATCTCCTTTGGCTTTTAAGTGGGAGGGGAAAAAAAGGACACAAAATCATGCATACGGGTGACAAATGAATGGAAAAAGCAGTGCTGCATTACTACCCGACATCCCCTTAAACAGAAGCGTCACTGCAAATCAATGTTATTCTGACTGAAACCATAATATTTTCATGGATACAATGTTCATTATAACATAATCCTGCCTGTAAAAGCTCAATCCTTGCCGAAATGGTGAGGGGAACTCGACGAGGGTGTACTGGAAAAAAAAAAAAAAGTACTGAAACAAGGCATCAGTCGCACACAGAACGAATCATAATGGCTTAATTGGGTTGAATAGTGAGTGTTTTGTATAGGAAGGACAGGAAGATCTGAAATAATTTATACAAAATATTTTTTTTTGACTGTTTCAGTAATAAAAAGTGAGTTAACAAAAAGCTTTTTTAACAGTTAGAAGACAGTGAATCATTGTAACCCCGAACCTCAATATAAAAATCCAGCACTATAAAACCCCGCACATTAGGTTTAAGCTCAATTGTGTATGTGTGTGTGTTTATATAGATTGTGTATGCGCACTCATACGTACGCATGCATACACATACGCACACATGCACGCCTGCACGCACGAACACGCACGCACGCACGCACGCGCACACACAGAAGAGCTTTAAACCTCACTAGTGGCTGTTCTGTGCTGTTCTGTGTATTGGAACCTTTCACTGTGTGTGTTCATTGTAAAATGCATGTTACGGGAGATTCAGTGAGCAAGTGTGTATGTGGTGTGTGTTCACATCTTGCCACGTCGCTTGGATCTGGTTCGCTGTGTGGCCTTGATCACTTTGGTTTTCCCCCTCAACACCCTCTTGTCAATCACTGGTGGATCCTGTACTTGCTCCTCCTCCTCCTCTGAACTGTGCTCTGCCTCCTCCTCTGTTGTCACCTTTTCTTCCTCTGTGCTCATTCCCCGGTCTTCTTCAACCACTTCTCCCTGTTCCTCCTCTTCGTCCTCCATTGTCATCTTGCTCAGTCTCTTGGAGGTGCGTTTGGAGATTGGAGGCACTGCTTTGGTTCTGGCTCCCCGAAGAACCCTAAATGAAACATCTGATTTTTCAAGATTCTTTTCCTCTCCCTCTTCATCCAGCTCATCCTCTTTTTGAGCTGCCTCCTCTTCCTCCACCATGAGTGTGTTGTTTTCTTTCTCTCCAGAAGGCTCTCTCTCCTCTTCCTTAGAAGACTGTTCAGATGTGTCAGTCACTTCATCAAGATCATTCACTACATCCATAGCCTCCTCCTGTCCTTGTTCTCCCTCAGCATCAGTGGCAAGTGAAGATGTTTCCTCAGTGGGAGGATCTACTTCCTGTTCTTCCTCAGCTGCAGGATCTATTTCATTTTTCTCAATTTCAGGAGCTACTTCCTGTTCCTCCTCAACTGAAGTAGCACGTTCCTGTTCCTCCACAGCTACAGCAGCTTCATCTTGTTTTTCTTTAGCTGTAGGAGCTCCTTCCTTTTCTTCCTCATCTGCAAGAGCTCCCTCCTGTTCCTCTTCAGCTGCAGAAGCTCCCTCCTGTTCCTCTTCAGCTGCAGAAGCTCCCTCCTGTTCCTCTTCAGCTGCAGAAGCTCCCTCCTGTTCCTCTTCAGCCACAGAAGCTCCCTCCTGTTCCTCTTCAGCTGCAGAAGCTCCCTCCTGTTCCTCTTCAGACACAGGAGCTACTACTACTTCTTCCTCAGGAGCTACTTCTTGTTTCTCCTTGAGATCAGGAGCTACTTCCAGTTTCTCCTCAGCTGCAAGAGCTACTTCCCGTTTCTC